CTTATATCATGTAGTGTTAATATATATTATATATCTATATAATGATAACGATATAGCTTGATTTCATCACATTCCCTTGAGTATTATATAATCCCTTCCCTTTGTTGTAAAATCTACCCCACACAGACCTAGTACATGTATTCTCTCCCTTGATTGAGTAAAACTACTTTTGGAAATCTCATTTATATCTTTCCCTTGGGAATTCCCTTAATTCAGACCACATGTCATATCCCCTAGAGTATAATTCATTTGTTTTACAATTGCACATGAGAAGACACATAAATATCAATACAAAACTGAAATAAATAATCGTATTTTCAAGAGAATGACACATGGTCTGAAATTGGGAAAACATTATGACTGATAAGTGGAAGACCACTTTTGTTCACGTACTCTAATTTTTCCAGGCTTACGAGGTTTCAAGAAATGAATACCAAGTTTAACAACTTCAATCGTTATTCATTTGAAAGATATGAGCAGCTTAACATTCATTTTCAAAGCCATACCAGGATGATAGTTGATATGAAAAAAGATTTGGACATCATTTTCAGGAGAATAAGGTATGTACATTATAAAGTACACAATCTGGATGACAAGTACATTGTGCAGTACCAACATACATCAATACTCAGGGATAAAATATTGGCTGGTCATCAGGCAATGTACGACCAGAATTGGAACTTGTCCAGTTAAGTTTTTACCTTGCTGATCATTTTGTYCAGCAATGTAAAGCCCGACACAAGGTACTAGACAAAGCTATTTTAATTTAACTAATGTTGCTGGTAATCATGACCGGTAATTGACCAGCCATTATTTTAAGCCCTGATATTTCCTCAGCAGCGGTGTCTGGAGTTTGCAAGAGGAGGGAAAGGTACTGGATGCTTTCTTTGTGCAACTTCAAAAATAATATGGTTTAATAAGTTATCAAAATGTTTTTGTTTGTTCCAGGAACCTAAAGACCAAGCTAGCAAGACAGTATGACAATGCCTTTGCTGGTAAGTTATCGAGATTAATACTTTTGGTTTCACCATTCTTCCCATTAATTAATTCATCCATTCATTCATCCCTTGCATTCATTTTCGTTGATACTTTCATTCTGTTTTTTATTCTTTTATTTGTTCATTTTCTTTTTTGTTTATTTTTTATATTTTTTCATTTATTCAATAAATCATTCATAATATTCATTCAATCATTCATTTCTTAATTTGCTTATCCATCCATCCATTCATCCCTCCAATCCATCCATTTATTTTTCCATTTCTATATTCTAGTTACATCCGCAAATATCCAGAAGTTAGAGAAAAAGATAGAAGCTGACCATGAAGACTACAAAGAAGAAAAACCCCAAACAGTGCAACCAAAATCACCATCAAGTGATCACCCCCAAAACACAACATCTGATGATGCTACCAGCAGAGATGAAAACCCAGTTTACCAGCAACAAACCCCAAGCTCGTCAGGCGCTGAGAGTGCTTCAGGACCACAGACAAATGATATCAGAAAAGAAAAACAAACAGTTAAAAAACCTTTGGACCTAAAAGAAGTACAAAGGCCTGTTCTTAGACCGCAGTTAAGCAGTTCTGATGATAACTACTGTGCAGAAGAAACAGATGACACCAGAAAAGAGAAACAAATGGTTGATCATGATAAATCTTTGTTCCAAGAAGTACAAAGCCCAGTTCTGAAACAGGTAAACAGTTCTGATGATAACAACAGTGCAGAAGAAAATACAGATCAAGACACACAGGGTGTGCAGAATGATACTAATCCAGGAAAAAGGGATACATTAAATTTAGAAAACAGTGGTAGCAAGGTTAACTATACAACAGCTTTAAGACCAGAGATAAGTAGTTCTGATGAAAGCTTAGAGGACGACACAGATGATGAGCGTGAAGAGGAGTCTGACACAAATGCTGAGAGGTGGGCGAGTACATCTCCATCAAGTGAGGAAGAAGCCACGAACACTGAGATGGCAAATAATAAAGATTTGCACGATGGTGGTGGTACAGAAAGTTAAAATTTCAATTTATTATAGAAATTCTTTCATTTTATCCTGCAGCAAAAAGAGCACATATGTATAGGTATCCAGCTGAGCAGCGAGTTTAGTTTCAGCCAATCATAGCGCACTTAGCTGTTTTGCTGCCGGCCCTCATCCCTTGGCTACTGTAGCCCTACTTTTACTCATTTTTCTGTTTTCTTTTGACTAAACTAAAATATACTTGCCAACAAAAAGCAGAACTTTGGAAAGGAAGAATCAAAACAATTTCACTTTACCACCATATTTGCCTCATTCTTTCAAGCTCCAAAAATGCTTACGGCCAGTTATTTTGTCCACTCATGCTTTGCACAGGGAGTTCACAGCTCAGCTGACAGATAGTCCTAGGGTTCTTACATGTTCTTCACACTTATACAGTATATTATTCAGTTTTGATTTTAATTGTTCAAACTGCCTTATAATTATATTATACATGGTTCCAACTCACCTTAGCTACCAATGCTTTCTCATAAAATAAAAAAAATTAGCTAAATTATCTCAGAATTTGAAAATCTGATTGTAAAAAGTTTTGGAATGCTTATAGTCCTGTGAAAATAAAAAAATTAAAAAAAATTGACTCTGACTTATTAATAGTAAGTACTTTGGAAATCATATACAGGTACTGTTTAGTTGTTTGAGGGACAAGATTTTAATTCGGGGGAAACTTCTGCAATGGTGATTGGCTTGCTATTGTCCATCAGTCGGAACTATTTGATTGCATTTCATATTTCCGAAGCAAAAGCAAAACATTTTTAGAATGACAGAACCTAGATAGCACTCAGTTGATGTTATGTATTCAGAAAGTCTATTTCATTCTTTTTTCCTCCTATATCTGTTATTCACTTTATTTTTTGAATACACTATATAAACTGCTTGCTTTGCTTTCCCATTCTAGAACCATAAGGTGTTTTGTTGCTTGGAAATTGATCCATTGAAAAACAATTCACATCTATAATTCAAGATATAGAAAATATAGATATGTTATAGTGCTTGGGAACGAGGTAATTCTGGGTGATAGACCCTTGGAAATAAGTTCGGAAAAATTAATTTCCGACCTCGCTGGGAATCGAACCCACAACCTTAATATAGATAAGTTATAGTGCTTGGGAATGAGGTGATTCCCGGCGATAGACCCTTGGAAATAAATTAGGAAAAATTAATTTCCGACCTCGCTGGGAATCGTGGGTTCACCCTGGCCTGCTCTCAGTCTGACCTATAGCTCAGCTGGTAGAGCATCAGTAGTACAATTGCAAAGGTCGTGGGCTCGATTCCCAGCGAGGTCGGAAATTAATTTTACCGAATTTATTTCCAAGGGTCTATCGGCCGGAATTACCTCGTTCCCAAGCACTATAACTTATCTATATTTTCTATATCTTGTATTTCATTAGTGCTACGCGGTCCACATATTCTCATCTATAATTCAAGATCTGCTATTCATTAACATGTGCAACAATATTTTAAATGTAATTGTGTGCTATCCCACCCTTGATTCCCCCAAGATTTCCTAGACAACGTACACAGACAACTTTCTTCTCGACAACTCTCTAAAATAAAACTAGCTATTATTGAATCATCTGCAGTGAGACTATAGTAGACTGATAGAGTACAATACCAGGCTTCTAAATCTACACAGTACAAGTCAGAACACAATTGAAATTTATTTATTTTTTAGGTATGTTGTTGTTGTTGCCGTTGTTGTGGTTGTTGTTGTTCATTGTTGTAAAATTTCGATTTAAAAAAAGGTATTTTTATGACATGATCTAAACAAAGGTTTTTTCAAATTGGAAATAGAAAAGAACTAAAGTTTGTATGTTAGTTAAAATTATGATTAAGTGGTTTTTATTAACCTATCAAACAAAGTGTACTAATTAGAGTATATATAACTAGTCACAAAAAAAGGTCGATAGTTTATTATAGAGTTATCRTGAGGTAGCGCTTAATATGCTGAAGTGTATTTCACGGGTTAATGAAAACTACTCTATGGAAATAGTCTCTACCTATGGTTACATCTCAACAACGGCGGATCCAGGGTTTTTTTGAAGGGGGGGTCTCAGTGGTAAATGTTGTGGGCAAAGGAATCCCAGTCGCATTTTTACCACAGGAAGCCCATTTGACATCAGGAATGACAGGGGGGTCGCGACCCCCCCGACCCTCCCCCTGGATCCGCCCTTGACTCAATTGCCAATGTAATGTATCTCTTTTCTTAGTTTCACTTGTTTCAGATATCGTAATTATAATAGCATTTCCATACTACCATATCTAAAAATATATATTACTATGTAATTCATGCTTTGGAAGCTTTAGCTGCTTTCAGTGCCTTCCGTGTTCTGACAGGCTCTGTGTCAAATAATGGCTCCTTGACCACAACTCCTGGGAACTTTTGCCCAAGGATTTCAATCTCGACACGAGAACCAACTTCTGTTAGTTCTAGAGGTAGGTAAGCAAAAGTAATGCTTTTCTCGAGAGTGTAACTGTAAGTTCCAGTGGTGGTGTTGCCAACAACCTACAAAGTTAACAATGATGGGGTTTACTTTTTGCTATTATTTTCACATTACAAAATATTTCTTTGAATCATCAGGGCTTAAACGACTGGACATTGGAAATCTTTGCCTTGCCTGTTATTTTGACCAGTAATGTTTAGCCAGAAATTATGATTGAGGTACATGTCTTGACTAAGCTAAAACTACATGCCATACATACAATATTTGCCGTCACAACAAAACAGGTTTTGGTGGATATCAATGAAAGAGTTTCCCTGTAATTTTTGAAAAACGCAAAGCTATCATGTTATGTGTCACTGAATGTCATGGCAACACCTTGATTGTTGTCCACCATCTATTTTGTCAAGAGGCTAAATTGTATGATTTCACATCATTTTTTGTCTTTATTTATTTAGAGAGGGTGACATTCATGTCAGTTACCAATAGGCCTTTTGCAACAAACAGTCACGTGCTGATATATCACTTTGATAACGAATCAATTCAGCTCAAGGTCCCTTGGGAAAGGCTCTGCTGGACGGCAAACAAACTTTAAATTGCTTCTCATCTTGAAATCGAAAGTATCTTATAAGGGAAAAAAAGTATTTTTGAAAAGGTTTTGGATGCCACATTAGTAATCCAGCAAAAATATCTTTAAATAAAGGAAGTCCATTTTTTGCCATCCAGTAACAATCACGTGTCAATCTATTGTAAGAGGCCTATTTAGCACTGATAAACATTTGGCCCCCTTACGTTTCTCAGCCAGAGGGGGCTGCCATTCCACATGGTATTTGAGCTACAGCAAAGGTTTAACCATTTGGATATTTGTTTTGAAGTAAAGGCAGCATCTTCTACTCAAAAATTTTAAGACCCTGAGTGCTCATTGGGTTCAAACCTACATGGCTAGACCTTCCACACAATAGATTAGTGCCCAATAATAAACTGTGCATGTGCTAATTGGAGTGCAATGCTCCTGTAAAACTAAATTTACCTTTCCACCAAACCAAATGGTTTCGTTTCCTTCTGGATCAACATCAGTTGTGTCTACTGTCAGGAAACATAGCTTTTTCTTGATGCCTGCTTCTTTATGCTTCAGGAGTGCTTCTTTTCCAATAAAACTGGCTTCCTGTAATGACACAAATAGTTAAATAAATTAACACAAGGTTTGTGCCAGGTCAATTTTCTTAGACCTTCTTAGGGTCATCACACCTAATTAATAGCCAGTGACTAGGACAACAACAAAATATTTATTTGCACCATACAATAAGATAAAAAAATTAATTAATGATACAATATCTTACGTACTACTTACCACCATTTGCATTGCTACGCGGCCACCCCAGACAAAAATCACAACGTGCACTTTGCAATCAACTGCCGTCAATCAAACATATTGACGTCATTTACACGCGTGTGTGATTCAAAAGGCACCAAAACTTGTCGATTGTTTACAAGTATTATGAGCCATACTCTTTGGGCCTATCCAGGCCAATCCAAACGCGGCAGTCTATTGCAAAGTGCACGTTGTGATTTTTGTCTGGGGTGGCCGCGTAGCAATGAAATGGTGGTGATGCTGCAGGGGAGCCTGAAATACTTAAAAAACTGATCAAAGTCAGGTTCCACAGTTAGTTATTATTGTAATATTACAATAATTGCATCAAGATGAACCTTACTTTAATTTATGGATTTTTCGTGGTGTGAATTAATTTTCTACCTTATTAAACTTGATAAAAAAGTCTAGTCCAGCCTCCAGAGGAGTGCAGTCCAAATTCATCTGGAAATAAATGTAAAACAATAAACTGGTTGATCATAAATTATTCATGTTTTCCCATTTGTAATAAAATTACGTTATAATCTGTTGAGAATGGGAATTTCTCGTTTGAGTTGATATTTTTATAGAAATATGTCATATTTTTTCATCTTGTGCAACCAGAATTTGATTCCTATTTTTTAACTCTCGTAAGTGCATTGAGATCTTTAAATGCACAAACTACTATATGTTATTACTATTAAATAAAATAATAATACTCTAGGGAATGTCAGGGTCTAAAATTAAGAGTCTGGATGCCCAAGCTTAATACTCTATCACCTTTTTTATAACATGAGTTTAAAATTGCATCAATGCTCAGTAGTTTAAAACACCTCCATCCTCCTCCCCCCACCACCCACCTCACCCCTATGGGTGATAGACTCACCTCCAGGCCCCACGACCTGAAGCCTTTTTCCAATCTTAATGTTGTCATTGCAAATGTTCCAAAGTCTCCAATACCATATTCTTTGCCTGCTTCCATGATGGCATTGTACAACTGCAATGTATCCTCTTTTTTGCAGTACAATTCCCATCCTAGTTCACCTATCGAGAACCATGGGGAAAATCACACAAATGTAAGTTGATGTAATAACAAGCTAAGTTGTCTTATAGCACTGAATTTCACTTTAAACACTGTCAAGCCATTTTATTTATTTCAATAAAGTTAGTCCCCGAAAAACCCATAAAGCTGAGATTGTATTAATTGAAATTAATTAACATTTAAATTAAGGTTAAAATTAGGCTTTCACGGGGGAGGGGGGTTCCATAAAGAACATAATGAGTTGACATTTCTGCTATACCGGTGATGTGATTAGCCTTCTCCAAAATGATGATGACTGTGAATTGGAGTGGGGAGGGATATGCAATAAAAAAAATGAGTTGACATTCTGGCTATTTTATGATGAATGTGAATTGGCAACTCTGAAAAAGCAGTGAAAACAATGGAATGTGGGCTGCGAGGCACTTTATTAGAGCGGAGTGGTCCTATTGTTCTCTTGAAGTAGCATTGGGATAATCAATTCAGTCAATTACTAAACAGCTATTTACACCTACTTGCATGACGGTTGTCATAGAAGAATAGAACATTATTAATTTAGTGAGAAAGGAATACATTAAAAGACAAAAGAAAAAGTTCACCTTCAGTGATTTTCTTTTGTTTTTTAATATATTTCCTATCCCACTAAATCACTAATGTCCTATTTTCGTATGACAACCTTCTTGCAAGTAGGTGTATATAGTAAGAGTGCTTTGCTAACCAGTAAAAGATATGCGGAATGCTCTGGCCATAACACCTCCAATTTCTATCTCCTTATGCATCAGGAATTTAAATTTCTCATGGCTCAGGTCCTCTGAAGTAATCTTGGACAAGACGTCACGAGCCATGGGCCCAGCCACACCCAAGGCATCAATTTCATCTGTTACGTTGTTGAATGTGACATCATATCCACCTTTGCGAGCATGTTCCTTAAGCCACCTACATAGATATATCGCTATCAATATTATAAAATTTAATAACGAACAAATAGATGAATGGATGGGTTGATAAGTATAGAAATCGGTGGGTTAGGTGGTTAGGTGAGTTGGTGAATGAATAGGTGGAAGGATAGATGGAAAGCCATAATTTTGATTTAACAGATCAAAAACAGGTTTCCGTGTTTGATACTCTGATCAAAACACGCGGGATGTTGAGAAAACACGAGAGGAGCGTAGGAAACCACGATGCGTAGCGGATCTCTCATCAAACATGGTTTTCGACCAATCATAGAGCGTGTAGTATCCCAATTATTTTATATAACAGAATCTTACCTAAGATCATGGAATTCAGATCCACTTCCCGTCAGAAGGAAGAAGTGGTCAGGAGCGATAGTTGATACAGTCATTTCTGAGTATACACGCCCACTTGGCGTCAACATGTGACTGATATTGGTCGAGCCAACCTTTGGAAGAGTGTTAGCAAACATGATATCCAAAAACCGTGTAGCATCTTTCCCAGTTACATGAAATTTCCCAAATGTAGAGACATCAATGACCCCAACATTATTAAGGACAAGGTTGACCTCACGCCCAACAGGCTCAAACCAGTTTGTGCGTCTGAAGCTTGGCTTGTACCCAGCATCATCTCCAGGCAAGGCAAACCAGTTAGGCTGTTCCCATCCAGCATGGAAACCCATTTCTGCTCCTCTTTCAAGTGTTTTCTGAAATAAAATAAATAATGCATGCACATTCCAAAAACACCTTTTATTTATAATTTGTTTGTTTTTTGTTTTGTAATGGTCAAATGTTCCAAAAACACATTTTTTTCGTGTGTTTTTTTGACTCAATTTTTTGTTTTGTTTGTTTGTTTTTTATGTCCCCCCCCCCCCCCCCCCGTTATGGATGAAAGAACAAATTGAACAGGATGCGATAAATGGCTATATGGACAGAATGAATGAATGGGTCATATGTAATAGGATAGGATTAAAGGTGTGGTGTATCTGATGGAATGGGAAAGGATAAATGGATGAGAAAAAGGGCAATGGAAAAAAAGGTAATATTTTAAGGAAATCAGAAAATATGAAATCTAGGGGGGGGAAAAAGTAAGTGGACACAGATGATTTTCTTTGAACCCTCATATACGGTAACCGGTCTTTTCAAACCAAAGTCTTTTCGATCCAGGTCTTTTCGAACCAGGTCCAGGTCTTTTCGAACCACCTATATGCACTTTCGATCCACCTATATAACTAAAGCATATAACACGTCCTCATATACGAATGGATAAATGATGATCAATAAATGGATGAGTGGAAGCTGAAGGGGGAAAAAGTGTATTATTTCAAAGAAATGAGAAAATATGAAATCTATAAAGTAAAGAAAGTGAAACACAGTCGATATGAATCTCTACCTCATATACTCCACTAGTCCTCATTGGCCGCCCACGGAATCTTTCCAACTTTGGTATAGTACATTGGTTATTCAGCCCATATGACTCACGTGCCTTGGTAAGAACATACTCTCTGGTTGTCCATTTTCCATAGCGACCAGGGTCTAACTCATTAAGATCATAGCCTGGTTCTCCATCAATTATCCAGTCAGCAAGATACTTACCACAGCCACCTGATGAAACATAGTACTTACATAATCAATATTTAATAACATGATATTTGAGTTTCTACTAAGTGTCAACAGCCCCCTCCCCTGATTGTGAGGGATTCTCTTCTAAATAACTTGCTCTATCCTAATTCATTGTTAGTATCTCAATTGAGCCATCCATCCATCAAGGTAACATATCATCTATCCTCCCATCCTTCTATCCTATGATCCTTCCATCCACCGAATCATCCATCCACTCATACATCCATTCATCCATCAATCCATCCAGCCAGCCAGCACTCCAGCCATCTAGCCAGCCATCCATAGCTTCCTTGCATCCTTCCTTGCATC